AAAGAATACAGGTATAAATATCACAATGAAAAGTACTTCAAAATATTTAGAATATCACAACAAAATAAGTAGTCAATATTTAGCAGATGGTACTGAAAGTCATCGTGCCCCATCAGATTGTACATTATCTGAATATATTGTACCCACTGATCATGCTACAATGGTAATTTATAATATACATATATAATTTATATTTGTAGTTGTAAATATGTACAATCTATTTATATATAAATAATGATAAAAAGTTGTGCTTACAATGTTTGAATGCATGTGTACTTGAACTTGATAGGTAAAATCAATGAAGACCAAAGACGATTCTGAAAAATATGAAAAAGAGGAAGGAAAACAATCAGGAAATATACATAACAGCCGTGGTTCCATATTATCTGGATCTTTGAGACACAATCTTCATCCTTTTAGTGAAAGTATTTCACATGATAGCATATGTGATAATGGTTCAGATATATATGTTACAAGTGCTGCATATAGGGCAACTTCAGATATAAGGTTGTAAATGCAATAAAGTATAATATTTTTTGCACAAATACGATTCTGTTATAAACATTATTATTATTTAATTGATAGCCATCACAGTCTAACACCAAGTTCAAGACTGGGTCATCATGCACCTAGTCATTGTAGTTATGGTTCTGCAAAATCAGTAAAATCTCATACATCCAAAAAAGACGGTATTGTTATAGAAACTATGTCAACACCTAATCCTTTTTGTCCAAATACTAAGGGAGTGTGCTGCCTTATGTTACTTCTCAATCTTGGTTTAATTCTTGTTACATTAGGCTTTGTTATAGTAATTCAATTTTTCCAACCATTAATAGTCTGGTAAGTACATATTTTAAAAAGTTACATATTCCCTTATTTTTTTTTTTACTTTATATGTAAATAGTACAATAAATTTTGTACCTTATACTAATTTCATTAAGTACTGTATAGAAATAAAAAAGTGATTTTTTAATGAAAGTTACCCTTCCTCTCTTTCAGGATTTTGGGAATAGTATTTCTTGTGTTTGGATTTTTCACACTAATAGGAAGCCTAATATATTGTGTGCATGTATTTAGAAATGCAAAACATCCACATGACATTAATCCAGAAGATCTCTATTGGACCCGATATTGGCAAGGACATGTAGGTTCAGCACCTGAAGTGTATTACAAAGCAGAAGATAAATATCACGATGATGGGTATAGTGATCGTTTAAGCAAATATTCGCATAAATATTATGATCGACAAAGATATTGAAAAAAGAGAAATATGTACTTAATATAAAATGTAAACATATTTTATATGTCATATACATTAACAGCACTAACATGTTGACAATGCTTATAAAACTATATTTTGTATAAAATAGTAACTATTATTTATTTTACATATCTATTAAAAATTTACAATCGTATTCCAACAATGTTTTAATAATCTTTCTACTTTGTATACAACAATAAATATGAAAGATAATAACCATATTTTGTTTACAATTTATTTGAAATATACATAAATAACAATGCTTCTACCAAGATTTTTTTGTTCCAATTGTATAATCAAACAAATGGCCATTTAAAAACTTTCCATCACTATCCACAATATAATAAAATTTTTTACCTCGAATTTTCAGTGGTAAATAATTTATCATCTGACTTCTTGCTACAACAGTTTTTACCTTAAAAATAATAGTAAAAAATATGAAGGATGTCATTTTTCAATACAATTTCTTTGAAGAAAATTATAAAGCAAAATAATATAAAATATGCACTTAAGACATAAAATTACTGTAAAGAAAATGAAAACACATACCTCATCAACAGGAAGTTTGAAAGTATTGTGGCGTTTATATAAATGATTCGTAATTACAGATACATTTTGACCACCTTTGTGTAAAATAATATATTTTACAAATCTATGATTCAATGCATATAAAAGCAACCAAGCAGGAGGTCCTATACATAAAAATACATTTAGTAAAAAAGTAAAATTATCTTATATTAAGAATATTACGGGTAATTGACTAATTTTATATGTTAATAATGAATATGCACATGATTCAGTAGCTCATAGTTATAAATTTATAAAAGCTATATTCAAATGTATAATACAAGATTATCATAATACTCTTACCCATTATTACTACATATGCAAAACAAGCCAAATTTGTTCCATTTGTTCTTAGATATTCAATCCAAGATAGACTTTGAGACCATGTTGATATATATGTTGGACTATAAGCATAATATGCTATTATCGTACAACCAAAAGTCCATCCAATAAAAAGTATTTTTAATATCCTGCTACCACGTATATATTCATTCTTGTACAATATTACATTATTTTGTATATTGGTATTTACATCTAACAGGTTTGACTTTATTTGTTTATTACATGCTCTATGTACATATGAAAAAATAGAAAAAATTTATTTCAATCCATATACAATATTTTGATATTTTACAACATAAATTACTTATAATATACATATATTAGTTCAATTTTCTTACATAAATCATAAAGTACTGTTAAGATCCTACCTTATATTGTTTACTTTCAATGAACACCTCGGTGAAGAATGAAATGATTGATACAGTACAGGATATCTATATTTAGAATTTCTTGTCAATGATTTAGAGACAATATGTATTTTACTAATACAATTTGTTACATTTCTGTAAGATAAAGAGTAGAGAAACATACTTATTATGGAATTGTGTACACTTCTAAATGTATTTTTACTCTTAATTACATTTAGAATCTATATTTAATTTTATTTCATGCTTTTAAACTTTAGGTTATGTTATTGCGCTTCGTAGTATGAAGTTCATTCTTATATAGTAATAGATTTTGTGCTCCCCATTTATAATAGGGATGACGAGGATAGCATTAGCGAAGAGAGATAAGGAAACGAATAATGGTAGACAAGGGTAGGACCAGAGAAATTAGTTAGACAAGGAAAGGAATACGGGTAGACAATGATAGCACTACAGTAACGAGTTAGACAAGGTTTTATGTTAATAAAAATTATAGAAGAATGTAGCTAAAGGTGTTGCCTTTCAGATGCATACAGTTATTTGCATGAGAATTTAATAGAAAGCATTATTGAAAAACCATAAAGGTATGCAGTATCGTTTCCGACATCCCGTACTAAAATTGTTAATACCTAATTATTGAAAATTGCTGAAGGTCTACATTTTATTCTTCAACTCTAAAAGTTCACAAAATCATCCTAATTATTGAGTTATCAATGATTTTTCACGAAACGACGCGATTTAGGGCCTGGAAAGTGGAGCATGGTGGCCCGCGAACCAATAGGAGGCGTTTCTCTCTGTCCTTGTCTAAAGGTGCTCTCCTTGTCTAAACGTATTCCTTTCCTTGTCTAATTCATTTCTTTAAAGGTATCCTTATTTCTTTTTGTTGTTTTACTTATTGCCAAAATACAGAGACCGGATTACAGGTATGATAAAAGCATTCATTTTAACGTATACAGGAATCAAGGAAAGGACTTCAATATCAGGAAAAATGTAGAAATGCAATTATTTATTGTAAGATAAGTGTACAAAATGTATTTTACAAAGGGTTACAATATACCAGTATTGTTTTACAGTATTTTACAGTCTATTTATTTCTCCCTTACACACAACACACATTTTCTTTTGTGAAACATTCATTCTTTAAATAATATTCAATTACAAAATTAAATAAACTAAATACTGATCTTTTATTATTGACAGCTGATTGAAAACTCTCTTCGTCACGCGATGGTATATGATTCGATTCCTAGATGCGAATGTTTCGGCAAATAACAAAAATATACGTGCCCTGTCTTTATGATTGTGCAGGAGATGGTGGGCCTATTAATTATAACCAGACCCGCATTCCTTCTGTTAACCAACTTCTCATCTCTGCACAGTAGAAGAAATCATATTTAATACCTAATAAAATATGTCTTGTCTTTAATTAATGTTAAACTACAGTAATTTTTGATGACTTATCATATTACTGATAGCACATATTTTCTAAATGTGCAGACATGAATATACGCTGTTTAAAATATTCGAAAATCTTATACCGTATAATATATATGTATGTTCACATATTCTTATATTGTTTTTTTTTCCAAAGTACATTGTAATTACTACGTATTAAAGTTAAATGACTGATTAAGTGGACAGTTTTATTCAGTCTTCTCACGTCAATAAGATCGTTGACGTTTATTACTAAATGGTTCGATATTCATGAATTATTAATTGTTTTTAGTTAAATAAATCAATACAAAATGGGTGACTTCTTGGCAACTAATAACATTTGTGGGCAAAATCTACTACGATTAGTATCTCATGGAAATGCTGTTATTGCAGAATTGATGAGATTGAAGGACTATGTGCCGCCAGTATTTAGGTTATTTATTATGTCTTTAGAAAATATGAGATTTACGTTACCTTCATTTTTAATTTAATTATTCCACATTACATTACATAAATTTTCTTTTATTTCACAGTTTGGATACAAAACAAATTGTACAAAAGTATGGATCAATTATAATTGATTTTGCATATTTCAAATCAGTTAGCACTTATGAACAGAAAATAGAAAATGATCCAGTAAGTAAACAGGAAATAACAAGATTATATAAATGAATGTAAATAATGTCTCTGTTATTTATTTTAAACTTTTAATAAAACTCGTACGTGTTATGTGTCTTTTATAAACAATATTATTTTTTGACACACAATGATTATTTTTCATTTAATGTTATGTGTGTAGGTACTTCAAGATACAGATGAAGAGCTACGAAATAATTTTTCTGACTTAATTTCAAGGTTTTATTTAACTTTCGAAAGTATACATAAATATGTAACAGACTTGAATCTTTATGTAGATGAATTGGGAGATGGAATATATATTCACCAGTCCATAGATACTATTTTGTTTAATGAGGAAGAAAGACAGTTAATGGTATTTTTGTAATTTATTAACATATACTGTGTAGTTAAAAATGTTATACATTAAGGTGTTAAACACTTTTATTTCTTTGTTAAATTTCAATTAGATGAGAAATTTATATTATTTAGAATAAAATTTATTCAGAAAATAATAGTCATATTTATCTTAACAGTGTGAAGCAGTATATTTATATGGAGTTATGCTACTTTTGGTGGATTATCATTTTGAGGGATGTATAAGAGAAAGATTACTAGTATCTCATTATCGGTACAATGCTCAACGTTCATCTTCTACAAGAGTAGATGATATATGTATGTTATTACGTTCAACAGGATTTTCTAAAACTTCTAATAAACGACCTGCCAATTATCCTGAGGAGTATTTTAAGTAAGGTTTTGAAAATTTTTAAATTTTGTAATGTTATTAAATTTTGTTTGTACGAAATTAATTTTACAGGAGAGTACCACTAAATGACTCCTTAATAGAACATATTATTGGACGTTTGCGTTCTGATGAAATATATAATCAAAGTCTTGCTTATCCACATCCAGAACATCGCAGTACTGCTCTTTCTAATCAAGCATCAATGTTAGTCATAATTTTATTATTTAAGCCGGTTGTGTTGCATAGCCATACTGCTATGATGAGAGAAATAGTAGATAGATTTTTTCCTGATAATTGGGTGATTAGTATTTATATGGGAATAGTAATAAATTTGTGTGATTGGTGGTTACCATATAAAGCAGCAAGAACAGCTCTCAATAATACTCTTGAATCATCAAATGTAAAAATAATTGCACAAAAATATGGTCAGAAAATGAAGGTAGCTACGTTTTCTGTGTTCAAGAATAAAATATTTCTCAATATAATACTATATATAATATGACATTCACAGTTTCAAATCTTTATTTTAGGTATTGATATCTGAAACAGAAGAAATACAATTAGCAGTGACTTTAGATGAAAGTGCAATAGGACCATTGGTAAAATTAGTAAGGGAATGTAATGTAGTATTACATTGGATACTTTTACATACAGCAATATCAACTATATCAATAGAAGATTCAAAACGCTCACGTATGCTTAGACAATTGGTGGTAACAGAAAGCAAATATACAACATCTGATTGTCTTCAATTGTTGCTAAGTACTGCTCAGATTGAGCAAGGTGTTAAACAATTGTACAAAGATGTATGATCAATAACATATTTTATATATAATTAATAATAATTATATTATTAATCGTAATAATAAGAAACTAAATGGCTTAGAGATAAAGAAATATGTGTTGAACGTATAACAGATCTTGCCCAAATATTTGGTGGTAGTAGATCACTTGATGGTATTGAAAGGAATCACAATTTACATGCTTGGTTTATGGAGATAAGTAGACATATTGATTCATTGCAACAAGAAGATGGTAGAAAAATAGTACAGTTGTTACAGGCATTAGAAGAAGTACAAGGTAATACAGTGTAACAAATTATAAGACATTCGTATTTTTGTTATTACATCGATTATAACGAGATAATATCATTTAAATTATAATAATTTCAGAATTTCATCAATTAGAGAACAATTTGCATATATCACAATATTTAGCCGATACACGTGAAATTTTACATAAAATGTTACGTACTGGAAGCATCACTGAAGACACTATGATAAGTTTAAATATAGTGACAGATTGTTGTTATGCATGGAATATAATGGAATCATTTATTGATGCAATGCAAGCTAGTATAAAAGAAAGTCCTCCTACTGTAATAAAATTAAAAGCGCTATTTTTAAAAGTAAAGTTTAATTTTTACATATATTTTATTTAATACACCATATCTTAACAAATCTTATGTCTAATTTATTTTTAGATGGCCTCAGCATTAGAGACTCCCTTATTAAGAATAAATCAAGCGCGTAGTGCAGATTTATCATCTGTATCACAATATTTTAGCAGAGAATTAGAAAAATATGCAAGACGTGTTTTGCAAATAATACCCGAAACTGTGTTTGGATTGCTTGCGCAAATAGTATATCTCGAAACCAATGCTTTCAAAGAAATCCCTACTAAACTGCCAAAAGAGAAACTGAAAGATTATGCACAACTAGATGATAGATTACAAGTATGTATTAATTTCTAATTTTCTTTCTACAAAAAAATCGAAAAAAATTAAATACAAATATAAATTTGTAATCTTCATATAACAATAACAACCTGTTTTAGATGGCTAAATTAACATATACTGTATCAGTATTTACAAAAGGTGTGCTCTCTTTGAAAAGTGTTCCACTGGGTGTGTTAAGAGTCGATTCGCATCGTCTTTTGGAAGATGGTATACGACAAGAACTTGTAAAAAAAGTGACGCTAGCTTTAGATAATGGTCTTGTTTTTGAACCAAAATCAAAAGTAAGTTTTATGTTAAATTCATTTATTAATCAAGATATTTTATTAAAAATTATTATTAATAATGTGTTATTTGCAGACATCATTGCTGCAGAAACTTCATAATTTAGCAGCAATTATGGACGGTTATCGCAAATCATTCCAATATATTCAAGATTATATAAACATTAACAGTTTAAAAATATGGCATGAAGAAGTAATTCATAAATAATTCAAAAATAATTCTTTTATATTAATACAATTTAATGTATAACAACTACTTCTTTCTTATTTGCAGATGACATATATTATAAATAATGCAGTGGAAGAAGAATGTGCGG